GTCGATAGACATAAATGTCAAAGCAAGCATGGCTAAACGAATAAGGCGAGTGGCAAGAACATAGCATATGTTAAATTTACACTTTGTTACAATATTGCAAAATAACTTCATTTTTCTATTGACAATAGCAAATCTGAATTATTTCAAAAATTGTTAATTTTAACATATGCGAATATTATTAATAAATATAAACTATTATTTTTTAAGCAAAAAAAAGATTATTTGGTAATTTACACTGTTAGAAACAAATGCGGAAAAAGAAAAGAAAGTTGCGCGAAGCAAATCTCGAACACGGGATTTTTCATATTCCAGCCACTTGCCTTAGAAACACTTACTTCTTAGCATTTATCGTCTGTTGCGTCGGCTCGGTGGAAGGAAGACGTGCGTTCTCTTTCATTGGTCGACCAGGTTGAGCTCACACGGATAGGGTGACGTCATCGGTTCTCGGTTGATTTGTGTGAGCTGCCGCTCGTTTCTGGCAGCACTGCCGGCACGTAGTCGACGCTAGCCGCCGAAAAGCTGCCTATCAGCGATCGATACCGCGAGCTTGGTAACAAGCTGCCAACGCATTAGGCGTTAGAAAAATACGACAACTTGTTTTTCGGCGATTTCTTATACGGACGCGAACTAACCGCTTGAAGGCCGCTTCGCTCGGAATAAACAAACAGCGGCGAAATGAAGGCCAACGATTCTCGAAGCTTCGAACGAACAAATTCTCGCTTTCTTATTAGTAATGCTGAACAGAACTCATTGGCGCTTTAATGTATTTAGCCGTAAGCACACGACCGGACATTGCACACGCAGTCAGCGCCTTGAGTCAATTTAATGAGAACCATAAAAGGATTCATTGGATGGAAAACGAATTCTAAGATATCTCGCTGGTACATTCAATCACGGTATAATTTACAGAAAATTGGCGAAACACTCACTGAATATGTTGACGCCGACTGGGGAAATTGCATAATGGACAGACGCTCCTATACCGGTTCCGTTTTCATTCTCGCCGAAGCAGCCGTATCATGGGAATCTCGCAAACAACGAACAATCGCGCTCTCATCCACGGAAGCGGAATACATGAGTTTATCCGACGCAGCCAAAGATGCTATTCATCTCATCGGTTTTCTTAAAGAATTAGGTTTTAAATCCTTAACTAAAGTTTCAATTTTCAACGACAACCAAGGAGCAGCAAAATTAGCTCAGAATCCCATGTTTCATTCAAAATCAAAACATATCCACATCAGACATTACTTCATTCGTCAAGCATTGCAGGACTAATCAGATCAATCTCAATTATCTGCCAACCGAACGAATGATAGCGGATATTCTAACAAAAGCACTAGCCGCACTGAAGCACGAAATGTGCCATAAAGGACTCGGCATCACCAACATCAATCTCGATGGAAGCTCGATTTGAGGGGAAGTGTTGGAACTCCAAATCTAGTTCCCCGATTCACCCATAGGGGCGCTAAATACATCTCGAAGAGATACGCGATTCCCTCTCTACTCTTTTTCTTTTTACGTACGCGTGGCATGTTCTTATTATATCTCATTAGAGAATTAATCTTATGTTTCATACTATACCGCAGTAAGCGTTGTTAATAACATACGTAGTTTATTTTATGTATTTTGCGGTCTTACAAATATATATATTGTTCTATTCAGAACTAGTGTATTCTATAGTTCCCGGACACGATAACCTATCTTTCCCTAACAAAAAATTTTATTTATTATTTTTATTTATTATTATTTTATTTATTAAATATAATATTTATATTATAATAATATAATATTATTGCGTATTCTCTTTAAACTCAGCATTGCAAAGTAGTTGCAAGATGTGGCACATCATTGTGTTACTTTTTCTTTTTGAAAGGTTTTTCAGTTTGGTTGCCACGACTATACCAAAACTATCAAACTCAGTGACCTGGGGCATTGGTGGCAGTTTTACAGTTGGCAGCGGAGTACTAATTGCTTCAGCCACTCGCTCGATGGAGTCCTTTAAATTTCTACTTCTGCTACTTCTACCTATTAGGCATAATTAAAAAAAATTATTTTTGTAATTCGTGTAAATTATAAAAAGATAATATTTATTCTTTATTAAAGAATAAACACTTTGTTGTCAAATACTCTGAGTTAAATGAATAAAAATACTTACTTGTTTGAGAACTATTTGACATATCCTCTTCGGAAAAAGACTGCCGCTGGCTTTCGTTTGAAACTGTCCTGCAAAATGAAATATCTCGAATAATATTGTAAGCATTACTATTAATTGATAAAGTTTACGTACGGTGTACTTAACAATGTATCTCGAACAAAAAACATTTGATCATAAAAGTGCCACTTTTTTCGCCGAGAAACTCTGCCGGAGCCACTCTCGGCTGCCGCTCCTCGGCAATAATCTTCATGAAAGTGTCTCTTAATGACTTCCAACGCTTCGCGGCAGCATCAGCGTTTATTTCTCCTGAAATACAAAAGATTTATAAATATTTATTTCAAATATAAATTGATTATAAAGTAAGTAATATAATACATTACCATTTAATTCAGTAGAAATATCCTGCCATATCTGCTTTACTTGTTTTTGACCACGTTGAGCAACAGGCAATCGGAAGTTATATAATGGCTCACGTTTCCTCACTTCTTCAATCAGTCTTTCATCTATATCACTAGATTGGTAGAAAGAATTGGTCACCTCAGAAATAAATTCGTCAGTGCTCTGTTGTGGTATTCTCGCCTCGGCAACAATTCCTTCCATGCCTCCTGAAAGCGCTCTTGCGGATTATATCCCCATTTTCTAGATAAGAAATTATTACATAAACATTACAAATTATGTTTAATGTAACATATAAATAACAAACTATTGGATTCGTCCTGATTTAGCAACAATACTTTTATAATTATACTATAATTATACTTGTATAATTATATACCGGGGCGCGTTCACTTGGCGCGAGACACTACTTTGTTGATCTCAATATACAATTTTAACCTTAAAATAAAAATGTTTATAAAATCAATACTTTTAATTGAATAAACTTACCATATTGCGGATAAAAATATCTTGAATCATTATCTATAACAATGTTAGGATATCCTGCTGCGCAATTGTGATTAGCTATCTGGCCTTATTCACAATTGTTTCGCAAACTCCACACATATTTACGAAAATCTGTTAAAATCAAATTTATTTCTTCTATACATTTATATATTGAAGCTATATAAATAATTTATAATAATATATAATTGATTAATTTACTACTTACATCTATTGAGTCGTCCATTTTTGCTTTTACCGCGAACACTTCTACCGCGTAGTACGCTTAGAAGTTGGAAAATCTGAACTTCTGAGCGTCGACGCTGAAACAAGTATGACGTCATAAAATCGTCTTGACGCGCGTCAACTGACATTCATGAAAAGGCACCTTTAGGAGGATCCCGACTGAGGATCGCAGAGCTCGCAGCGACACTGAAAATGATGCAGCAAAAAAAAATATTCGTTCGCGATTAAGTACTGATCGGACAGAAGAAACCGTTCGCGACTAAATCCGAAATTTACTTCCAAGAATCTTTAAAAACTTTCGGGCCGCACAACAAAGCAACGACTTTTCACGACCTTTTGGACGACTTTTTGACGATAATGACTTTATGACAAAAAACGAACTTTTTTGACGACAGAATCGCCTCGGGCACGGATTTTTATACCTCCTTTTTGGGGTAAATCCATCAAAAAAATTCTAAAATTTCGTGGCGAGGGTCAAATAGGAAATAGTTTTACAAAGAAATTATAATGCGGGAGAGGATGGCGTCACTTTTAGTAAATAGGATTAGGAATTAGATTATGATGTTATTTATAATAGGGATGCTATAAAGGGCTCTAACGATGAGCATGAGAAATAGCGTCCATACATAGTGGGGAGTAGGCTTCAGAATTACATAATCTGGTTGGAGTTAATTAGCTCTTAGTGTCTTAAAATCTAGATGATTTCTTGGGGATCTAAGATGAACCGATGGGTAGTCCATAGAAGCGGTTGATCTAATTCTAGACTATCTGATTGGAGGGTTGAAATTCAGTGGAGTACAGTTGATAACGTCTTAGGTCACGGACCTAATATTTTATGCAATTTATGATACGCGGTCGCGTACTCTGGAGACCTGTGAAAAGTATAGCTAATGCATCTCGGTTTCCCAGACCTACTGAACACATGCGCAGAGTCAAATTTCATGCCTTCTTGGCGCTCTCAACTCAAGGATTCCTCTTTGTCGGAATCCATAAGTGGAAGCTAACTGTCTGCAAGTGATAGCTTATCTCTTAATTTACGATTTAAAATCGTCGAAGATGCCAGCTAGAACAAAATAAAATTTCAATTTTTGACTTTGGTGGCGACAAGTGAGCGCCGGTTGGTCAAAATGGCTTAAAGTATCGATGCCATCTGCTTCTTGAGATTCCATGGGAAAAGTCGAACTCACAAAGTCCCATAGAAAAGCCAACATTAAGATAATTTTTTTAGAATTTTATTCTGTGTCGCGTTTATTACGGTGTTTAGTATTTTAGCTTATCTGAAAAGAAAAAAAATGTGGAATCTGATCAGGACGTAACACACATTAGATCACATTTATATTCGTATATATACGTTAATTTACTGAAATATAAACATAAAAGCTAACATATAAATTGGATTTATAAAAGTTTAATTGTATGATCAAAAATAGTTGGATGTTAGCTTTTTATTGCAAAATGTTCCATAAAATACAATTAAAATAATATGTAACTGAATCAACGTAAAGTATTTGGCGAAAATAACAATGTATTATTGTTATAATAAATGATAATTTATTTCTTGCTTTAATTATAAAATACATATGTTTCTGAAAAATATATATAATCACAGAAATATTATAATAAAATACATATAGATTTTTAAGAGTATTTTTTAATAGCTTAAAATATTATTTAACTACTAATGTTTTAGTAGTCAGTTAAATTGCGATGAGATGTAATGTGTATGTGATGATTTTAATTCAATAAATATGAATGCTTATGTTCTCTTATATTCTAGTATAATATTTTGTTTTGACAATGTTACATTGTTACACTGTTGCGTACTCATTGTTTTATCGCGACGTTGAATTGCAGCAACACGACTTCATACGTTACGATTGCACCAGCCACCTGCATATGAATTTGATAAAATGTTCATTAAATAAATGTTGAGTGGCGCTCATATAAATATCATAATAATATTAAAATATTGTGACACATAATAATGAAAAATATAATAATAAAATTTCAGGAATTTTTTTCTAATTAATTTTTAATGTATCACTTTTTCTAATTAATATGAATATATAAGAATATTTAAATTGAGCATAATGTGCAAAATACTACAAATATCTTTTTATACGCGTTACAAATTATACCGCAGTCATAAAGTTCTTTCTCTATTAATGTTTCAGTAAAATATTGCATTATATGAAACGTTGAAGAATCATCCATTAAGTCTTGATCTATTCTTACCGCTAACATAAAATTCCGCGTAATAGAAAAGAAACGCATTCCCGTAAGTGCGATATCGTCAGTGGTGAGTAGATATATCAGCCTTTCTGTCTGCAATAAATAATTATCAAATAACAATAAATTAAGTAATGAATTAACTAAATATGGCATTTATAGCTGTTTTTTACGTGTTGAATTGTTTACCTCTACATTATAGGTGGTAGCTGAACACGTATACAAAACTGGCAATACCATTTTACTTTGATCGTTGATTCTAGCAGTGAGCAGAGTGACGGTTACCGTCCTACCAATCAGGAACATGAAGGAGCCAAAAAAATAAATATCGCTGATAATGCTATTGTTGTCCGGTTGACTGTACGCGGATCAAGCAGAAACAGGAATTAGTTTTTGCATAGTATCAACACGCTATATCATAATCTTATATTTTTGATTAAATTATCTATTATAGAAAAGTTTAAAAATCACTTTACTTACTACAGTACTGTTATATTATTGTTAAAATTGAAAAATTAATATAGAACTTAAATTTCTTAAATATCTTTTTCAAAAAGTATTCTCCTTATATGTTATATTTTCTTTTATTTAAATTACACATTAAAATGAACATATGTATATTATCATTGCAAAGCACAAAAGTGCATTTGTTATGAGTGTCGATGATATTTTTTATCTTGCTATTAACTGATACTAACAATTGGTTTCAGTATTTTTCTTACTATAACTATATGTATTACTTACGACAATCCGTTTAATAACTGCAAACAGATAAAGTAAAGATTGTTTGTGAATGACAGAAGAATTACGGGTGATATGTCATTATCCACCTTTTTCACCATGCAACTAAGAGCAGCATAATCTTCGCGAATTCCACACCAATCTATTGTTGTTCGATGCTTCGAAGCAGAAGTTATTACTTGTTTGTTCAACTTTTTGTATCTTTCGGCTAAACCGATAGCAACCTGAAGAAATTGATCAAAATTAGAAAAAAGACGAACTGATCAAAGATTATAAATATTTAATTTTGAATAAAGAAAGAAATATTACATTCAATTATTTACAAAATTTTATTACCAATATGATGAAAACGTCTGTGAAATTCCACGTGAAAGTCGCTAGTTTGCTAACAATAAAAATGAAGATACCGAGCACGAAGTTATATTTCACTAAAAACATAAAAAAATTTTTAAGTTTCTGAAAAGTATAATATTATCTATAGTTACATAAAATTTTGTAATATATGTTCGACAAAAACTAGGACAATACTCAGACAGCACAGCATATCCAGAAGATGTCCAAAGAATATCCTGAAGACATTTTTGGGTGCTGTCTGGGTAGTCCTAGAACAAATTTTTAAAAGAAAAAGACTAAGTTGTGATTATTTTACAAGAATAGTTATTAATATAAAGGACTAACGTAAAAAAAGGAATAAAAAAAGATTAAATTAAATTCAAACAAATTTAAGAGTATAAAGGTTTGAGAAATTTTGAAGTAATTGATTTTTAGTTTTTTTACATTTTTGGATAATGTGAATTCTTTGGAAATATTTTCTAGATAGTTAAATTAAAAAATTCGAAAAATTACGGTTAGGGAAACGGAAAACATAAAATGGTGCACGAATGGCTGGTGTCAGACATTCGCGCGCAACACGTTACATGTTGTAAACACGCAACTAGTTTGTAAAATAAATTTATAAAATTGAATTATTAGATTTATAAAAACTTTTTCTGTATTATAAAACTATAAGAGTTCTGTCCCCACTATATTAAGAATCTGAAAGAATCTTGGTTAATGTCCGAACAAGACCTCTCGTGGACACTTCACGAACCCGAGGAATAGATAATCAGGAATAATGATAAAATTGGGAAGCCAAGAACACGTAATATCTCACACTCGTTTTCTTTATTTGGAAAGTTTTTGTTATTATGTTTTGGAAAATTCGTGTGTTTAGTAGCTTGTTGACGCTGCTTAAATATTATATTAATCGACCGCAACTTTATTATTTGTTATTTTATAACTTGATATTTATTATTTTTCATTATTTTATAGCATTATATTGTAGGGATTTTCCTCGAAAAGAGATGCGATTATTATTCCTTAAAGAGAGATGCGATTATCGCGTAAGTTATCTCGTCATCGGCATATTATAAAGGACTATTATGTTAGCTATCGGTGGATAGCGATTATGATTGTTAGCTATCGGTGGACAGCGATTATGATAAAATTTCGCGGTATCTTTGATGCGAGTGTATATAACCGAGATCCCTGACGAGTCAGTCGAGAAAAGATCCTGACACACTATGGAAGATTAAAGATATATATTCTCTAAAATTTGTGTCTTTAGTCTTTCATTCATTCTCGTACTCCTCACAAATTTGACATTTATTATTAGATTTAAAAATGTTAAAAACTTCTATATTGACTAAACTAAAATATTGATTAAGCATCATACAAACGTTCAAATGCACAAAAAAAAAGGAAAATTCCATAACAACCGTTTCATAACTTTTGATGGTGAAAAAAAAATTAACAACTCGGAATTCACGGTATTTAATAATTGTAAGCAGAAAATCAGCTCGTTTAAACATTTATCACTGCAAATCTGGTTATTGCATATAAAATTATAAATTTTTTCAACGTGTTTTCTGTGATGAGTCAATTGATGTACTATAGTGTTTGTAGAAAAAATGTAAACATTTTCCACAGTATCTCATGTAGTACTTTCTTTCCAAATTAAAGTAACATGCGAAATTGCGAGCTACGTTGCATACATTCATGCTCGAAGTCCACACAACACGTATATGACATAAATAAGCGCATCATTTTTATATTCATGCAAATATTAGACATTAGATACACTCAATTGCTACAGTTTTGCAGACTCATGGGACTTGCCAAAATTTTTCTCTCGACCTGCATATGACAGAACAATAAAATATATTAGAAAGTATCTTTGTCCGTACAAAATTCAATAATGATAGCAGTTTATCAAGAAATTAAGAAGTTGAATGATTCGAAAAATATTATTGTATCAGGAGAAAACACAAGGTTTTTCTTCACTTCAAGGAATTGTGGTCAGCATCGGCAATTTTACAGGAAAATTTTATAGGATTATCGATATTGGTATTAAATCTTCATACTGTCAGACATGCAATCTGTGGGAATCTCGAAGTGGGATAGTAAAATATGTAAAATGGCTCGACAATTACATAAATGAATATATTGAAATCACTACGGCAACGCAAATCAAATGGAAGTCTTTATTATATTAATATTTGAAATGTTCTCTTGACTAGAAAAAACATGTGGAATTTGTAACGATGCATTTATGCATCATCACGGTTTGGACTGACCATCCGTCTGAGCCACCAAACGGCGCCGATAAATTTATAAACATAAATTTAGGTCAAAGCACCAAGCGTATCACACTCATTGTCAGCCAAACTCAGATTGGGGGGAGGGGAAAGGGCAGTGCTTCAGCGGCTGCACTAATCGCCAATTTCTGACAAATCGCTAGCTCTGGGTATAAATTCGGGCCGAATCCTCGTATCTACACCAAATCTCTTCTGCTGCTCCGACAGCAAACATACGATCCCGACCTAGCGTTCACGGTTTCTCTGAGCGTTCTCGATTTCTCTGAATCTACATCTATACGCGAGCATTCTCGCGTACCTGAACGGGCTTTCCCGGACTCATACTCCGCTTACACGCGAGTGTTCTTGCGTCCCCTGCCGAGCGTTCCCGGATTCATTTTCTCTAAACTTTAATCCGATGCTTCTTTATAACTCACCCATCGTACTCTCCCATACTGCATAAACAACCCGCCACATACATTCATACATCATATACCGCGTCAAATCAGCTACACCGTACTTACAATCAGACATGCCGCATTATAACCGATATACGGCTAACAAATTAATCCGCGCCCGCCATAATTAAAAAATCGAACCACTCACATCTAAACTATTGTACATATACCGCGCCTTTACCATTAACAATTACAACTCGCACACACATGCAAACACATGACCGAACATTGTAACGCATACTGTACACATTCAATCTTTCATCACCAAATAAACCCGTTTCTTTTTGTTATTTAATCGCCATCGAGAGTTTCATTTAAGTAAGTGTCTCACAACCCTTCTCCCGAATCTTGGTTCTGACGAGCTAGCTCGAATATCGAGAAAAGCAACCATTTCAAATTGAATATAAAGTTTATATCAGAGATGGTGACAGCAAGACCTTCTTCAAAAAATTAAACCTTATAGACTGGATTTTATTATTGAAAAAGGCGAATATGTAAGCCACGTTTAAAAACGCATGAAAACCCGACTGCTAAAAAAAGAAATAAAAGGACTCGGTGGTAAAGGAAAATTAACAAAAACACTATAACTAATTTATCGCAATATTATGATAAAATTATACGAGATAATGACACGGTAAACAATATAAGAAATGCTATACTAGTGACATTTTATCATAAATGTTCCACGAATGACAAATCACAACACGAATTTTGCTCTAAAGGAAAAAATTCTTGCTGCAATTGGCAGAAAGCAAAGGTGATGAACATGTTAAAATATTATAAGCATTAGCCGGCACTTCACAAAGATGTCCAAGTTGCAATAAAGCCAATTTATGTTGCTCTGTCTAATAATATCTAGTTATTAACTGGATGCATTGCTATAGTCAAAATGCTAATGAAAGTTTCTATTCAATTGTTTGGAAAAAATTTGAAACTGAAAAAGAAAAAGGAGCACAATTTGTTGTTAGGTTCAGCATTTTATAGTAAATACGATGTTCGATACAGAGAAACTTAATGTATCAAAACTTTAAACGCATTTTTCTCGAAACAATGTTTTTCGACAGTTTCGCAGACATAACTGAAAAACGGATAAAAATATTCAGATGATTATTTAAATTAAAAAATATTAAATTTTTTACAAATCTAACTAAACATTGAAATAGGTATAGTGAGTACGATGTTTGATACAGAGAACATGTATCAAAACTTTAAAGCGTTTTTCTTGAAACAATGTTTTTCGACAGTTTTGCAGACATAACTGAAAAGCGGATAAAGATATTCAAATGTTTCTTTTTTTTTAATTATAGAATATTAAATTTTCTACAAATCTAACTAAACATTTTAAAATCTTTTTTATTAAATTTTTATTGCAATAAAAAGCAATTAATTTTTGTAATTTTTAAAATTTTTATCGCTATTTTGTTAATTTTTATTAGATTTTTTTTGTTTTAGTTCAGTCTTTAGAAAAATATTTTAGGAAAAAAATGGCGCTTTGTTTTTTTAAAAATCTTAACTGGATCAATTGTAATCGCTGCAAAACTATGATTTACATAAAGAGATGAAATAGGTTAAAATGACTTTAAAATTTAATATTTTTAAATTTTCTAGACAGTTTTCTTTTTCTAAAACATTGTATGATCAATCTCTAAAAGCATTTTTATTTACATTAAATACTCACTTTGTAATATAAAATCAAAGTTTATTGAATTTTCGGATTAAACCTTTATACCATCTTTAAGCATAAAATCTTTATACTACTCTTAAGCATATGCCAAAAAATTATGTTTGCATAATCTTTTATTACGTTCTAATAGATAAGATAATGCACTCGGCGATTAGTGAGAAAGGTCCTGATTGCTCGAGCTGAATGGTCTGTAAGGACTTGCGACATGTCAGCGACTGGAAAGGTCGTGTTACTCTATCAGCAGATCAACCATTCGCAGGTTTTTTTTTGGTGGAGTAATTTAATTCCTTTTAATTTTTCTTAAAGAAATTAGTAAATTAGTCTACATGAGACAGTTAAATTGTACACCGATCTCAGATCGAGGTACCTAAAGTGTACGAAATTTAAAGTACATTGTTCTCATATATCGAGAAACTTAATGTACGTATAGGAATTATTGGGAAGAAAGGAAGAGAGAAAAAATATCAGGGCGCGAGTGGCTAAGCTGGGAATTGAACCCGGGTCTTCCGCTTGCCGGGCGAATGTTCTGACCACTAAACTACTCAGACCCCACGCTTCTAATATTTATTTCTCCTAGATTAGAAAATCAACAATGCTGTAGGACATAAACGCGTCATAATGCCCGCGTGATTTAAAACACATATAATGGAAAGGCTCCTACCATTACGTTA